ACCCTGTGGTCTCCTGGCTCCCAGCCCGATGCACTTCCCCAATGCTGCAGAGTGCACTGAGAGTGACTGTCACAGAGTGTGGAGGAGTCAGGGCCCTGTACCCCCCACTTCCTGCGATTCACCGTGACTCTCAGCCAGCCAGTAAAACGGAAGGTTTATTGGACGATAGGAACACAGTCCCAAACAGAGCTTGGACCCCTCAGTCAAGTCCTTCTGGGGGGCAGGGAGCTTAGACCCCGGGTCAGACCAAAGGTCCATCTAGCCCAGTATCCTGTCCACCCACAGTGGCCAATGCCAGGTGCCCCAGAGGGAGTGAACCTAACAGGTAATGATCAAGTGATCTCTCTCCTGCCATCCATCTCCACCCTCTGACAAACAGAGGCTAGGGACACCATTCCTTACCCATCCTGGCTAATAGCTATTAATGGACTTAACCTCCATGAATTTATCCAGTTCTCTTTTAAACCCTGTTATAGCCTTGGCCTTCACAACCTCCTCAGGCAAGGAGTTCCACAAGTTGACTGCGCGCTGTGTGAAGAACTTCCTTTCATTTGTTTTAAACCTGCTGCCCATTAATTTCATTTGGTTGCCTCTAGTTCTTGTATTATGGGAACAAGTAAATAACTTTTCCTTATTTACTTTCTCCACACCACACATGATTTTATATACCTCTATCATATCCCCCCTTAGTCTCCTCTTTTCCAAGTTGAAAAGTCCTAGGCTCTTTAATCTCTCCTCATATGGGACCTGTTCCAAACTCCTAATCATTTTAGTTGCCTTTCTCTAAATCTTTTCTAATGCAAGTATATTTTTTTGAGATGAGGAGACCACATCTGTACGCAGTATTCAAGATGTGGGCATACCATGGATTTATATAAGGGCAATAAGATACTCTCCGTCTTATTCTTTATCCCCTTTTTAATGATTCCTAACATCCTGTTTGCCTTTTTGACTGCCGCTGCACACTGCGTGGACATCTTCAGAGAACTATCCACGATGACTCCAAGATCTTTTTCCTGATTCATTGTAGCTAAATTAGCCCCCATCATATTGTATGTATAGTTGGGGTTATTTTTTCCAATGTGCATTACTTTACATTTATCCACATGAAATTTCATTTGCCATTTTGTTGCCCAATCACTTAGTTTTGTGAGATCTTTTTGAAGTTCTTCACAGTCTGCTTTGCTCTTAACTATCTTGAGCAGTTTAATATCGTCTGCAGACTTTGCCATCTCACTGTTTACCCCTTTCTCCAGATCATTTATGAATAAGTTGAATAGGATTGGTCCTAGGACTGACCCTCGGGGAACACCACTAGTTACCCCTCTCCATTCGGAGAATTTACCATTTATTCCTACCCTTTGTTCACTATCTTTTAACCAGTTCTCAATCCATGAAAGGACCTTCCCTTTTATCTCATGACAGCTTAAATTAACTAAGAGCCTTTGGTGAGGGACCTTGTCAAAGGCTTTCTGGAAATCTAAGTACACTATGTCCACTGGATCCCCCTTGTCCACATGTTTGTTGACCCCTTCAAAGAACTCTAATAGATTAGTAAGACACGATTTCCCTTTACAGAAACCATGATGACTTTTGCCCAACAATTTATGTTCTTCTAAGTGTCTGACAATTTTATTCTTTACTATTGTTTCAACTAATTTGCCCGGTACTGACATTAGACTTACTGGTCTGTAATTGCCGGGATCAATCCTGGGACTCCCTCCATTTCCTCAGCCAGCTCCAAACTGAAGCCCCTCCAGCTGTTTCACACCCCCTTCCAGGAGCGGCGCCAGGGTTTTTGGCGCCCTAGGTGGGGGTCCTTCCGTGCGCCCGGTCGTCGTCAGCAATTCTGCGGTGGGGGTGTCTTTCCGCGCTCCCAGTCTTCGGGGCACTTTGGAGGCGGGTCCCAGAGCGAGTGAAGGACCCACCGCAGAATTGCCACCAAAGACCCGGAGCGCGGAAGGACCCCTCGCCGCCGAATTGCCGCCCCCCCAAATCCTGGTGCCCTAGGCAAGCGCCTAGGTCACCTAAATGGAAGCGCCGGCCCTGCCCCCTCCCTCTGGTTCCTCCTCCAGCCTTTGTCCAGTTTCCCGGGCAGAAGGTGTCACCTGGCCCCAACCCCCGATCCTGGGCTCTCACGTTACATGCTCAGGTATCTTCCCTCAAGGAAAGTCTCCCATCCCACACACAGTCCCAGTAAAACTCCCCTGCAACCTTCCCAGGTCAATACTTCCCACTCCCTGCTGCATCACAGAGACCTCTCCCGAGTCCCCACAGAGACATAGAGAAGCTGGGAGCTGCAGGATGCTTGGCCAGGCTGAGGGGCCCAGGGATTCCTGGGTTTTGCAGGGACCTCTGCTTGCTTTGGCTGTTCTAGATTTCGTCTGCAGATTAGAGACAACATATGATGGACGCAGGAAGAGATGACACATCGTCCACTTCCTGTAGCTGGAGCCACCAGCTGAGTTCCTCATTTGGGGCTTGGTTGAGTTGGGCTTCGGGGTGTTGGTGGCAGCGCTGAGGGACCCCTGGCTGCCCCCATCATGGCATCTGCTCTCACCGTCCTCTTCCTCGGTGAGTATCGAATAAAGCCAGGGCGTGTGCCCATGGGGGGTGCATCTGAGGCCAGGGCCTGTGCCCATGGGGGAGAGGGGAGGGGCAGAATCTGAGTCCAGGGCGTGTGCCCATGGCGGGGATCTGAGACCAGGGCATGTGCCCATGGCAGGAGGGAGGGTTGAGACTAGGGTGTAGGATCCAGTTGCTCTGGGATCTGGTCACTAACGAGCCGTCTCCCCTCCAGGCTGCTGGCTGGCCGAGCACAGAGGGGTTTGGGGAGGTGAGTATCAGTTTGTGGGGAGGACGATAACATCAAGTACGGGGGATGGGATACGTGGGGTGGAGAAAAGAGGAACTGAGATCTGAACCTTCCCCCAAACTCAACCCAAACTCCGGCCGTGAGCTCAGACCCGGCCCCATTCTTCTGTGAATCTCTGCCGTCCCGGCCCCGCTAGGGAATAACTAAGAGCTGAATCTGGCTCGTGGGAGGCGTGGTAGATACACTAGAGGGTAGGGATCGGATACAGAGGGACCTAGACAAATTAGAGGATTGGGTCAAAAAAAACCTGATGAGGTTCAACAAGGACAAGTGCAGAGTCCTGCACTTAGGACGGAAGAATCCCATGCACTCCTACAGACTAGGGACCGAATGGCTAGGTAGCAGTTCTGCCGAAAAGGACCTAGGGGTCACAGTGGATGAGAAGCTGGAAATGAGTCAACAGTGTGCTCTTGTTGCCTACAAGGCTAACGGCATTTTGGGCTGTATAAGTAGGGGCATTGCCAGCAGATCGAGGAACGTGATCGTTCCCCTTTATTTGACATTGGTGAGGCCGCATCTGGAGTACTGTGTCCAGTTTTGGGCCCCACACTACAAGAAGGATGTGGACAAATTAGAGAGAGTCCAGCGGAGGGCAACAAAAATGATTAGGGGTCTGGGGCACATGACTTATGAGGAGAGGCTGAGGGAACTGGGATTGTTTAGTCTCCAGAAGAGAAGGATGAGGGGGAATTTGATAGCTGCTTTCAACTACCTGAAGGGGGGTTCCAAAGAGGATGGAGCTCGGCTGTTCTCAGTGGTGGCAGATGACAGAACAAGGAGTAATGGTCTCAAGTTGCAGTGGGGGAGGTTTAGGTTGGATATTAGGAAACACTATTTCACTAGGAGGGTGGTGAAGCACTGGAATGGGCTACATAGGGAGGTGGTGGAATCTCCTTCCTTTGAGGTTTTTAACGTCAGGCTTGACAAAGCCCTGGCTGGGGTGATTTAGTCGGGAATTGGTCCTGCTTTGAGCAGGGGGTTGGACTAGATACCTCCTGAGGTCCCTTCCAACCCTGATATTCTATGTGGGGTCTGACGAAGCAGACGGGAACCATCCTCTAGTTTAATGTCCTGCCCCTCCCCCCCACCCCCAGGCTGTGAGGATCCGGGGGTGGGGGCAACACGTGGATTTATTTCTGCTCATACAAATGTTAACAGGGCCCATCCATGGGCTCTAGATCCCCTCGGGGAACCGAAATGTTCACGGTCAGTGCAGCCGCAGGCAGAACCCCCAGATCCTCCCCTGCCCCGAGATCGACCCCAACACCTCCCTCCCCTGCACTCACAGCCCCACCCCCCGATCCCATGGCCTAGGGAAAGGTGGGTCTTGTGAGATTCCTGCCAGTCACAGACTCTATTTCCAACCCCGGGGTGGGGGGCAGAGCTGCAGGGGCCCACTGCTCAGGCTCCCTGGCTGGCCTCAGGCAGGCGGGGGGGGGGGGGGAAGCGAGGGGGATCTCTCATGGAGCCCGGTCCTGAGCTACCTCTGGGTGAACCCCCTGCCCCCTAGCCCCATGGGCAGGCAGTGCCAACCCTGGTAGGGGACAGACTCCTAGAGAGGCCGAATGACGGATGGACTGAATTGGGGCGGGGGGCTGGTGGGGGGCTGTGTCTCCCCTGTTTAACTCCTGTCTCTTCTTGAAAACAGGGCATGAATACTCCAAACCCCCCATTTGGGTGAGCCCCAGCAGGGTGGTGGTGCTCAGGGGAAGCGTCACCATCCGCTGTGAGGGTTTGTACCCGGGCATGGAGTTCTTTCTGCGTAAAACTGGACAACCGAACCCACAGCCTGATGGGACCGTGGCTGAATTTCCCATCGTCAATGTCAGCCGGGAAGATAGAGGGAGCTACACCTGCGACTATCGCTCCATAACGGATCAGAGTCGCACATCGCATCCCAGCGACTCCGTCGAGATCATTGTAGCAGGTGAGGGGCCCGGCTCAGGGTCCCGGCTCCCAGCCCCACACCCAGCCAGACCCACAGCGGGTCTCTGCACCGATGGGATGCTCACAGCCAGGCTCTGCCCTGGGCCCAGCAGAGAGGACGCCCAGCCAGGGAGCGGGGACAGAGTCACTTGGGGGTTCCCCAGCCAGGAGGGAGAAGCAGCCACTGGAGATTTGGGGCAGAGGAAGGCCGGGGGCTGGGGCTAGGGGATGGGGCTGCCCTGGCCTAGCACAGGGCTGGGGTCACCCGGGCCGACCAGCGCAGCTGGAGCTGCTCAGCATCGCACGTCTGGAACTGGAGTCGGTTGGCTGGCAGGGGTGACCTGGGCTTGGGGCTGTGTCGGGGGTCCTCTGGAGGTGGGGATGGGGGGCTGGCTCGGGGTTCTGGCCAGCTGGGGTTTATCTGGTCAGCGGAGGGGGTGGTGAGAGGCACTCAGGGCTCCTGCATTGGGAAGTGGGGCTTTGTGCATCACGGTGGAGTTGCAGGGCTAGCCTCCCAGAAAGGGGGGTCCACCCACCGCCCATGGGGGATGGAGTCACTGCGGGGAGCAGCAGCCACTGGAGATTGAGGGAGGGGGGATCCCTGTCCCTGGGGGAGCTGCAGAGCAGGGGACCTTTCCCAGGGGGATTCTCCCCATCTTGGGGGATGCACAGAGGGCTCGAGGCCCAGGGGCTGCTCAGCCGGCCACGGCCCCTCCCCACTCCCCTGGAAACCCAGCACTTAGTCGGAAGCTGTGCTGGGGAGGGGAAGGTGGCTGGGTCGTGGTGTCGGCCCCTCCCCCGCCCGGGGTCTGTGTCTCACGGCCTGTCTGCTTCCCACTGCAGAGACCAGCTACCCCAAACCCAACATCTCCCTGAGCCCCAGCGGGGGGGTCTCCCTTGGGGGAGCCGGGAGCATCTGGTGTCAGGGGCAGCTCCGGGGCGTGTGGTTCGTACTGAATAAAGAGCGACGCCATTTCTCACCTGTGGATTCGGACGACAATAAGGCTGTGTTTTCCAGCAGCAACGTGCGCTGGGAGCACGGCGGGAGCTACAGCTGCTCCTATCACAGCAGATCGGAGCCGTTCGGCGTGTCGTACCCCAGCGACCCCGTGGAGCTGGTGGTGAGAGGTGAGGGGCCCGGCTCGGCGTCCCCGTTCCCAGCCCCACCCCCAGCCAGACCCTCACGGGGGCTCGGTGCCAATGGGACACTCAGAGCCAGGCTCTGCCCTGAGCCCTGACCCAGCAGAGGGGATGCCCAGCTGGGGAGCGGGGACGGAGTCACTGGGGGGTTCCCCAGCCAGGGGGGAGCAGGAACCCTGGAGGCAACTTTAATGCTGTCCCCAGTTTGTATGAACCGTGAGTCGCTATTTAATCCCGGGATCCCATCCCCTCTGTTCTCCAGCGCCCGCCCCAGGCAGTGCCCTGGCCGGAGGTGAATGAGGCAGGGGCTGCAGGAGAAGCAGTGGCTTGGTGGACACGGCGCTGGGCTGGGACCCAGGAGATCTGGCCCAGCGCCTGGCACAGCCACACACTCTGTGATGGGAGCATGTCGCGGTTTTCAAAAGTGTCCTTCATTGTGTGTGTGTGGGGGGACCTGTGATGAAGTGGACTGTTCTTAATGTTTTCCTCAGTTTCCCCTATGCAGTTCTTAAGTATCTAGGTGGTGGGATAAGGGTGTATGGTTGCTGCAGAGCAAAGGGCCAGGGTACATAAATGCCCAACACTCTGTCTCCTCGCAACTGATGGCCTGGGTCCCGTTCGCTGGACCTACAAGCTCTCTTTTAGACCATGTTCCTGTAGTCTAATAAACCTCTGTTTTACTGGCTGGCAAAGAGTCACGTCTGACCGCGAAGTGGGGGGTGCAGAACCCTTTGGCTTCCCCAGGACCCCGCCTGGGCGGACTCACTGTGGGAAGCGCACGGAGGGGCATATGCTGAATGCTCCAAGGTCAGACCCAGGAGGTGAAGCCATGTGAGCTTCTTGCCCTGAAGACAGTCTGCTCCGAGGGAGAGGAGTATCCCCAAAGTCCTGACTGGCTTTGTGGGGAACAGTTCCAGAGCATCGCCCGGGGACTCCGTGACAGGGCTTCAATCTTCAGGGTTCTCAGGCCAAGCGCTCGCAACCCGAGATGCCCACACTTAGCGGAGACCTCTGCAAACGCTGGCCTCAATAGCGCTGGATCCCTTGTGTTTCGGGTGCATGTAGGGCTCCCGCCATGATCAGGGCCCTGTTGTGCCAGGCGCTGCATAAACCCGGAGTGAAGAGACAGTCCCGGCCCCCGGGAGCTCACTGAGGAAAGTGACTATGTCTGTGCCTCAGATTCCCGCTATGTAGAATGGGAGGCTGACTCCCTTCTTGTGTGCGGCTCGGGCCCTGTGGTGCTGGGTGCTGCCGGGCACCAGATACCAGCCCGTGAGTCGCTCTGTGCTCGGGGGGCTGGATGCAGTGAATGAGGCAGGGGCCACACATGGGCATATGAGGATCCCAAGAACTAGGGAGCTGCGGCTCCATGTCTGTGGGGCTGGAAGCGCAGCTCGCAGGGCCGGGATTCTGCATGGGGGAATCTCTGGGATCTGGGAGAGAATCTCTGCTCGGGGGCCCCAGGATCTCTCCATGGCTGCAGCCGGCCGGGGAGGCCGGGGCTGTGTGGGTGCCTGGGTCTGGCTCTCACAGCCTGTCTCCTGTGCGC